GGGTGAGGATATTTTGGTGGCAGTTTTAAGCCAACGGGTGAGGATATTTCGGGTGGCAGGTTTAAGCCAGCGGGTGAGGATATTTCGCGTGGCAGTTTTAAGCCAGCGGGTGAGGATATCTCGGGTGGCAGTTTTAAGCCAGCGGGTGAGGATATTTCGGTGGCAGTTTTAAGCCAGCGGGTGAGGATATTTCGGTGGCAGTTTTAAGCCAGCGGGTGAGGATATCTCGGGTGGCAGTTTTAAGCCAGCGGGTGAGTATATCTCGGGTGAGGATATTTCGGTGGCAGTATTAAGCCAGCGGGTGAGGATATTTCGGGTGGCAGTTTTAAGCCACGATGCACAAGTCCCAGGGCATGACAATTCCTTGTGTTGCTGCAAACTTGGGCGACACGGAAATGCATCTGGGCGGTACGTTTACCGTCTTGTCTCGGGTGCCTGCCTTGACTGGTCTTGCTTTGGAACGTGGCTTGAATTTCGACCGGTTGGCCAAGATCAACCAGAGCCGGTCTTTGTTGGCACGGAAAGAATACGAAGCTGCGAAATGGCCACCGCTCGAAGCCAATGCGCTTCGACATTTTCAGTCGGTCCTTGCAGAGCTGTTGCTGAAACGGGGGTCTCCCGAAGCAGCTGTGCTGGACACGATCGGCGGCTTGGCCGAAACAGCAGCTGAGCAATTGTCACTGCCTGACTTCACTGCGGAACTGTGAGCACTTTCTAGGGTGGAAACGCTGCGCAATCATCGTGGCGGCGACGGCCGGTGCCATTTCTACCATAATTTCTACCGGGAGAGTGCGGAAGGGCTCTCGCACGGGGGCGGCTTGTGCAGTTTGAGCAGAGATGGCACCCACGACGAAGAGGAGGGGGCAGGAGCAGGAGGAGGAGGAGGAGGAGCAGGATGATGATGATGATGATGATGATGATGATCATGATGATCATGGTGCTGATGCTGAGGAGGACGATGATGATGATGATGATGATGATGATGATGATGATGATGATGATGATGATGATGAGGATGAGGATGAGGATGAGGATGAGGATGATGACGATGAGGATTATGACGGCGGGGATGAGGCGATGGAAGGAGGACGAGGGGGGAGGAGGGGTGGAAGGAGGGCACGGAGATCGTGGAAAGGGTGCTCGCAAGGAGAGTGGCAAGGGGAAGAGGAAGGCGCTGGACGAGGAGGCCGACGAGGAGGACGGAGGCGGAGGACAAGGCAAGAGGCGGCGGGAGGAGGATTTCATTGAAAATGGACGACGGGGGGGGGAGATCAGCTCGAGGGCGGAGGACGCGGACGGGATGAGGAGGCGGCAGAAGGGAGGAGGAGGTGGAAGTGGAGGAGTCGTAGGAGGAGGAGGAGGAGGTGGAAGAGGAGGAGGAGGAGGAAGAGGAGGGAGGAACCGAGAAGAGCTCTGTGCTCGGCCCGGGCATCCAGCCGCCACGCGATGCATCATCTGCATGGTCGGCCCAGCCGACGGCTACGCCTCCAGCGAGGTGCTGCGCCCGTATATATGCTCGCCCCTTGGCGTGGGGCTGGCGGGGGGCCAAGGGGCGAGCTGTCCGGTGATTCCCTCCCTCTCCTCCTCCACCTCCCCCGAATGTGCACAAATCCCCGCTGTACTGCCGCATAACATGATGGAATGATGGAACATGATGGGGCCATTTGGGGGTTCCATGTCCGCTATAACACCCGTCGGCGGATATGACAAATCTGCGCAGTGGGAAGGCATGGGGGGTATGAGCAGGTTGTCAGATATGGCGCGAGCGCGCCTAGCTTTCATCTCACCTCTCTCCTCCTCCTCGCTCCTCCTCTCTCCTCCTCTCCTGCTCCTCCTTCTCCATCCCTTTTCCTTTCAACTAACTCCTCCTTGTCGCACTCCCAGACGTGCTGGTAGGGCGGGCCAGGCGTTTCGCATGAGACTTTCTCCCCGTTTGTGATCCTGGAGCTTGCAACTTGCAACGTGCAACAGCTTTCCGGATGGAGAGGCGGTTCTCAACATGTTCCTCTCGCCCTTGCGCTGCGCATACTCGTCCTAACCCTTTGCCGTAATTTCAAGGATAGAGCGTGGGGGGGGTTCAAAATGTGGCTCTCGCTATGTAGCGCCGCGCACCGTCGTCGGAAAAGTTACCAGCAGCTTAATGGATTGAGGGCGGCTCTTTTTCAACACGTGGGTCTTGCCTTAGCGCCGCGCAGATTAGTCTTACAAGTTTGCAACAGCTTCAATAATGAACGGCGGGTGGTTTTCAGTATGTGGATATCGCCCTCGCGCCGCGCACAATCGTCTGAACAAGTATCAGCAGTTTCACGGATGGAGGGCGGCGCTTTTTCAAACCGTGGCTCTCGCCTCAGTACCACGCACAGTAGTCTTAGAAGCTTGTAGCAATGCCAATGATGGAGGGCAAATTGTGTTCAATAGGTTCCTCTCGCCTTAGCGTCTGGCGCATTCGTGCTAACAATTGCAGAAGATTCACGGATGGGGGCAGTCCTTTTTCAAACTATGGTTATCGCCTCAGCGCCGCACACATTCGTCATTAGCCTTCACTTATCAGCAGTTTCAAAGTTGACGGGAGGGTGACTTTCGAACTGTGACTCTCGCTTGAGCGCCGCATCCATTTTGGAGGGCGTTATGATTTTCAAAACGTGGCTCTTGCCTCAGCACCACGCACATTCATCTTACAAGTCTGCAGCAAATTCAACATTTCCCATGGTTGGAGTCCCAGGGATGGCGTTCCGGCAACATCAAAATTGTCAAGTCGCAGCGGTCACGTGGATGCGTGGTGTCGAAGTCTCAGGAACGGCGTGCTGGTACCTTGTGGGATTGCCAGGACGCCACAGTCACGTTGATTTGCGGCGCTGGAGTCCCAGGAACGGTCTTTTGGCACGGTTGAGGTTCTCAGGCGATTGTCTTCCAACGGGGCCCTTGCCGAAATTAAAACCAATTCTCGGGGGGTCGAGCGAGCGCTCTCCACCACTCCCGCGCGCTCCCGCGGCGCCGCGACGGGCCGCGGGGGTCGTCCTCCGCCACGCGGCGGACCGTGGCCGCGTAGACCGCGGCGCGGCGGTTCTCGCTCGACCAGGGGTCCTCGAGCAGAGCAGGCATCAAGACCGAGGCTGTTCGGCTAGGAAGCAACTGCTGGGAGGTCTTCGTCGGAACAATCAAAGAGAATTGAACCCCTTTGGGGAGCTGCTACGCCAGATTAGGCCGCGCACTAAGCGGGATTAAAGGATTATGCCAGAGTAAGCTGGATTTTGGACCAAAGCAAAATCAGAATTTGACTTCCCAAGAGTTGCATCCGAAATTCTGTCTTGTGGATGCAAAATCGCAGTTTTGATGCTTCCGCGTTTCTGTGGGCCATCTGGGAAGCTTCTCCTCGCTGCAGCTGGATTCCACTCGGAATTCTGGTCAGAACAAACCCCCGAACAGGTTCAGGGGCAGATTTTTGGCCTCCGATCCTGACGATGGCGACGGCGAGGAGAGCGCGAGGAAGAAGAGGACGACGAGGACGAACCATGACGGCGACGACGACGACGACGAACGACGACGACGATGATGATGACCGACCGAACCACCGACCGACGACCGACGATGGCTTGAACTTAAGGCAATTGTTTCGCATGTTTTCGCCTTCGGGGGCCAGTTTTGGGCCAAAGCCGCGGAGAAACGACCCAGGATGAAGCACCGGCCCCGGGGAAGTGGTCGAGAAGTCTCGGGCCCATGTGTAGAGTAACCGAGCAGTCGGATGTCTGGTAAGAGTAGAACTAATTATGATCGATCGACGTCTCATCCATACAGCTGGTTCTTGTCATGCCGACATGGGCTCTGGTTTCTGACACTGCGTGAATAGTTCAGTCATGGCAGCTCTCCGACAACGCAGATCATTCGGTACCGACCGATTCCAGACCACTGGCGGCGTTCATCCTTGAACGCCCGCGCTGGAGTCGCCGCGCGGTCGATGTGACGCAAACCTACGAACCGGGGGTGGACAGGAGCCCCTGTATCAAACCACGCTCTCGCGGAAACGACGCGGGACCAGACCAGGCGGGCGCAGGCCCGAAAAGTTGTGGGCCCCACACATTCTGGAGAACCGACATAAGGCAACTTGCTAATCGACTTGGCCGTGTGGGAGTTCTACCAACCTCCGATACGAAGGAGCGGAATGGGGGCATGGATCAGACGCTAGCCTCTTGATGCGCCGAAAATCGTATCCATGCCTTGGTTCCCTGACACAGCAGGCGTATGGATGGAGCGTCGATCGCCGATGCTGGCAGCGCTCAGGACGAGTGTCGACGCCGACGTCGTCGTTTCGGAGTTTGGGGTTCTTCTGAGGGACGGCTGGACGTTGCTCGAAAGAGAGGCCAGGATGTGCCCGGGGAGAAAGGTCTGGGAACCCATTTCGAGCGAGGGGACGGACAACGAAGGCAGTGCGGCTTCTCAGAGGGGCGCGGAGGAGGCTTCTGCGAGGGCTTCTCAGAAGGCAAGAGGCTGTGATAGAAATCCCATGCCGTCTTGGAAAGCCGCCCCCCCTCGCACCACCCACTTCGGGACAACCAGTCATTGCTGCGCCCACACCCCCTTGGACTGCCCGAATGCGATGCCTGCTGCATCGCAATGGATCTGGGGGCCCTGAAAAGACCACGTCGTCACATCTGCCCACCCCAAGCAAATATTGTATCTGAGAGGTCCCGCATGGTCTCACACGGTCCCGTGAGACACCCCTGGTCGACACCCCTTCGGGAGGTCCGAATGCGATGCGTGCTACCTCCTGATGGTCTTGGAGATCTGCAAAGAGAAACAAGTTCATCCCCCCCCAAACAACAAAAATGGGAGTTCTACCTGAGAGGTCCCACCAATCTGGGCTCGAACGGTCAGAAAAAACACACCTGGTGACAGGAAGGATGCGTACGCCGGAGCATGAACGGGTCTGAGCAGGATTGCAGGATTATGGGTATGAGTTACGTAGTCAGAGTGTGAGTGGACCTCAGTCTGAGAAACTGGGTATGGGTCGCGGCAAGATCGTGCGGACCCAGCGCGCGAAGTTTCTCCTGCAGGATTGTCGTGGCAGGCTTGCAGGGCTGCAGGGCAAGGCTATCAAGGCTGCAGCCACGCGGGGGAGCGCTGCGGTGCCTCTCTTGCTCGCCGCGGGCTCGGCCGTCAGGGCCGCTCGTGCTCGGCAGGACCAAGAGGCAGCCGATGGCGCTGAGGCCACCGACGCCGCCGAGGACGACCAAGCAAGCGGTCTGGCGGACCCTGAAGTGGAGTACCGTGTCGCGTATGACGACGGGGGCTATGGCGACGAGACGGTCCTCAGCCAGGTCAGCGCGGCCCCTCGTCCCGGCGACCGAGCCCTACGTCAAGAACGGCCTCCACCAGGAGATCAGGTGCCACCAGGAGCTCCTGTTCCACCTGAAGCGGGGGTTCCTTCGGGAGATCGAGCACCACCTGGAGCTCGAGTACCTTCGGAAGATCGGGTACCTGCTGGCGATCAAGTACCACCAGGAGATCGGGTACCGCACGGAGTTCCTGTACCGCCTGAAGTGGGTGTTCCTTCTGGAGATCAGGTACCACTTGAAGCTCGGGCACCTGCTGGAGTGCGGATTCCACATGCGGTTCGGGTACCGCCAGGAGTCCTCCCGGCACCACACCAGCAGCAGTGGAGCTTGGGGGAGATCAAGTACCACCAGGAGCTCAAGCATCTGCTGGAGATCGTGTACAGTGGGACTCGATTGGACAGGACACGCGAGAGGACACAAGACCCTTCCGAGGGCCACGTTGCCACAGAAATGCAGGAGCCATGTGTCGCAAGACAAAGGACACGAAGCTACCCTGGATCTGGCAAGGGTAGGGTCGACCTACTAATCCAGGCCGCCTGTACGTACAGCTGCCGCACCACCTGATGCAGGGGAGCCACCTGGAGGTCGGGTCCCACCAGAAGCCCAAGCACCTTCGCAAGAGCGAGCGCATGCTGGAGACCGAGCACCGCTTGGCGGTCGACCCGGAGCGCAGGTGGCCCCTGGAGCTCGGGTGCCCTCTGGTGAACAGGCAGTGCCTCCCAGCCAGCCTGCGCTCGTGATCGACGCTGAGCTGGAGCGCTCCCTGGACGCGGACGGGCCCGCAGCCTCCAGCCTAGCGGGCCGAGGCCGCGGCACTGCCTCGCAGCTTCGCGGGGAAGCCGATGCGTGCTCGCCCCTCTTGGGCGAGCGCCAAGGACTTGCACGTGAGGGCAGCCTGAAAGATGGTGGTAAGTCTCCAACTACTCCTACGGCGGCCTGGGCGCGTGCAGGGGTGGCCTCGGGCTCCTGCCATCCCCCTGGCAGCGCGGCAGCGGGCTCCCAGCTCCGCGCGGCCTCGGCGGAAGGGCCTCGAGGCAGCCAGGTGCCGGCGGCGTCCCGAGCGGGCACCCCGCCGCCCAGGCCGCACCATATCGAGATGGTCGGCGAGTTCGTGGTGTGCGTCGTGTGCGGCTCCTACTCGAAGCAGGTGGCCAGGAACCTCACGGGCCCATGCAGGAGGTTGGACGTGCGCGACCCATGGGATCGTGAGCGCCAGCGGAGGATCGCCCGCATCATGGGCGGCAAGGATCCCAAGACGGGCAAGCCCATGCTGGGCTGAGCTGGAGGCGCCGAGGCCATTGTGCCCGTGCTGAGCCGAGCGGCCAGGCCGTTGAGCGCGCTGCTCGGCCTCCTCCTCTTCCTGCCCGCAGCCTGCAGGCCCGAAGGCTGCGGCGAGGCGCGGACGCCCAGCAGTGTCCGATCATCAGAATCACCAGAATCACACATAATCACCGGACACACAGACACACACAGACACACAGACAGACAGACACACAGACCAGACACACAGACAGACACACAGACACACACAAACACACACAGACAGACACACAGACAGACACAAAGACAGACACACAGACAGACACACAGACACACAGAAAGGACACACAGACACACACACAGACACACAGACAGACACACACAGACACACAGACAGACACACAGACAGACACACAGACAGACACACACACACATAGACACACAGACAGACACACACATAGACACACAGACAGACACACACACAGACACACAGACAGACACACAGACAGACAAACAGACAGACACACAGACAGACACACAGACAGACACACAGACACACACAGACAGACACACAGACAGACACACACAGCCAGACACACAGACACACAGACAGACAGACACACAGACACAGACACACAGACAGACACACAGACGCACACAAACAGACACACACACACAGACACGCAGACAGACACACACACAGACACGCAGACACACAGAAAGGACACACATACACACAAACACAGACACACAGACAGACACAGACACACAGACACACAGACAGACACACAGACAGACACACAGACAGTACACACAGACAGCAACAACACACATAGAAAACAGACATCAGGACAGACACACAGACACAGACACACACAGACCAACACACAGAACTCCACAGACACTGGCACAGACACACAACAGGCACACGACAAGACACACAGACAGACATACACAGACAGACACACAGACACACACACACAGACAGACACATAGACACACACACAGCAACACACAGACAGACACACACACAACAACACAGCCAGACACACCGACCGTAGACAGACAGACACCCAACAGGACAACGCAGCAGACAAACCGAACAGAACACCAGACACAGACACACAACACAGACACACAGGCAGAACACACACACATACACACAAACCAGACAGACACATAGACAAGACACAACAAGACACACAAAAGGACACACAGACAGACACACAGACAGACACACTGACAGGCACACGACAGACAACACAGAACAAACCACACAAACAGACACACAGGCAGACACACACAGACACAGGGGAGAGCACAGACACACAAACACACAACCAGACACAAAGACAGTGAAACACAGGCACACACATACAGACAGACATGACACACAGAAACACGCACAAGACACGGTTACCGGCAGCCAGACACCGGCGGGGCAGACAGCCCCCGAATGAGCGTGCGGGAGGTGCAGACACACAGACACACGACGCTTGCAAGTGCAGACAGACACAAACACAGACAGACACGCGGCGAGGCACACACACGGACGCGCGAAGTATGCTCTCGTCCCAGTGCTACACACATACCAAGCACAGACACAGACTCACACAAGAACCAGACACACAGACACACTGAACAGAAACACACACAGACACCCAGAGGACACAAACACACACCGACACACACAGACACACAACAGCACACACTACAACAACAGACACCGCACATAGACAGACGCAACACCCACACAGACACGCACAGTGGAAACCACACACACACACACACAGACACACACACACACAGGCACACACACACGGGCACGTACACACATTCAAGCACACAGAAACACACACAGACACACACATCGACACACACACAGACACACACAAACACACAGACACACACAGATACACACACAGACACACAGACGCAACCACAGACATACACAGACACACACACAGACACATACAGAAACACACACAGGCACACAGACACAGACACACAGACACAGACACACAGACACAGACACACACACAGACAGACACACAGACAGACACACAGACAGACACTCAGACACACACACACACAACGACAGAACACAAACACACACAGACACACACAGACACACACAGACACACACACAGGCACACACACAGGCACACACACAGACACACAAACAGACACACAGACAGACACACAGGCAGACACACACAGACACAGAGAGACACAGACACACAAACACACAAACAGACACAAAGACAGCCACACAGGCACATTCACACAGACAGACAGACACACAGAAACACACACAGGCACACACAGACATACAGACAGACACACAGACAGACACACAGACAGACACACAGACAGACACACACACACAGGCACACACACACAGACACACACACAGACACACGGTCAGACACACAGGCAGACACACAGACAGACACACAGACAGACACACAGGCAGACACACAGACAGACACACAGACACACACACAGACAGACACAGACACACAGATACAGACACACAGAAAGGACACACAGACACACAAACACAGACACACTGACACAGACACACAGGCACAGACACACAGGCACAGACACACAGACACGGACGCACACACAGACACACACAGACATACACATAGACACACACAGACAGACACACTCACAGACACACACACACAGACAAACACACACACAGACACACACCCACAGACACACACAGACAGACACACAGACACACACACAGACACACAGACACACACACAACACACACAGACCCACAGACACACACAGACACACACAGACACACACACAGGCAAACATACACAGACACAGACACACAGACACACAGACACAGACACACACGCAGTCACACAGACAGACACACAGACACAGAGACACACACACACAGACACACACACAGACACACACAGACACACACACAGACACACAGACACACAGACACAGACACACACGCAGTCACACAGACAGACACACAGACACAGAGACACACACACACACAGACACACACAGACACACACAGACACACACAGACACACACAGACACACACACAGACACACACGCAGACACACACACAGACACACACACAGACACAGACACACACACGCACACAGACACTGCGAAGCCCTCCCCATCCCCCTACCCAAGGGCGCCCCGCTTCGTGCTCCGCGCTGCGCGAACAACTTCGCGCCCTCGCGCCGCGGGAGAAGAGGAGGACGTGGAATTGGAGCCGAACTGCGAAGCGCGAGACGCAGATACTTTCGCGCCCTCGAAGGCGCCCTCGCTACCCTTCGGTCGGCCGTGTCCTCCTACAGGCGAATTTTGAAAGACAAAGAAAAATAATCAAAACAAATGAAAAGCCATAGAGCACGAAACATTACCCCCAGAGCATTTTTGCTACTATTCTTGATTATTCCTCCTGTAGGGGGACATGCCCGACTTGATGCTACCCCCGTCTTCGGGGGCGTCTAAGAGGGGGGGGCGTAAATCATGGCCGGCGGCATGTGCGCGGCCCAGCGGGGGGGGGGCCCGGGACGTAATGAAGTAAGAAGAGGCGCAGTGAAATCAGAATCAGGGGAGATCTCATGGACTCCGCCATGATCCGCCGGCCCCCTTGCGGGGCCATCAGGCTGCGAGGATTAGGCTTGCCGCTCCCTGCTCCAGTTCCAGTTCCCAGTGTCCATTGTGATAGTTCTACGTTCTGCTTCCTACTGTAAATTGTTTAAGTTCGCGCGAGGGGGGAAACCGAAAAGCAGCCTGGTTAGCGTCACCCCCCGGGGTTCCCAAAATTCCTGGGGGGGCGTGGGACATGTAAAAATACATAAGAATCGCGCGCCGAGGTCATAAACCCTTGTAAAATACTCCATATTCGCGTTACCGAAGCCATAAACTGTTATGAATTATACTATTTTGCGCGCCCGAAGCCACAATCTTTAGTACATTACACAGCGTTCGCGTCCCCGAGGCCACGAAGCATCGTAAATTATACGATGGTCGAGTCACCGAAGCCATCATCCCTGCTAAATTACATCATATTCGCGTCCCCGAGGCCAGAAACCTTGATAAATCATGCAATGGTCGCGTCCCCGAGGTCATTATGTCCGTAACTTACGCAATATTTGCGCCCCGAAACCGCAAACTCTTTCGAATTATACAATATTCGCGCCCACGCTTCGTATATTAGGCATAAGCCCTCGTACATAACACAATATTCGCGCGCACGAGGCCACGATCCCTCGTGAATTACGCAATCTTTGCATCCCCGAAGCCACGATCCCTTGCAAATTACCACCAAGAGGCGCCCAAACCGCATCCAAGAGGCCCTCTTGGGGCTCCCCACGACAACCCAACACATAGCAAGAGGCCTCAGACCCACAACTCAGGCACAGTCGCGGGATGGGCCGAAGGTCACTAGGATAACGCCAACGTCTCAATATGCGCTGATGATTCCTATCCGCCCCCGCATGATGTTCCACTATGCGCCAAGGCAGCGCCGAGACGCACCGACGCGACTCTGATATATCCCATTCTGATCAAGGGGGGGGCCGGCGGCAGGGGGCGAAGCCCTTACGGATATCCCCCCCCGTAGTTATCACCCCCCTCTTGGTCGCCCCCGACATCTGCGCGTGGCTGACACTCCTCGCCGAGCACCGGCGGCGACGCGAGCGCGACCTGGGCCCCGGACTCCAGGAGGCGGTCCCTGCCGGGGCGACGGGGGGCGACGGCCAGAGAGGGCGGCCGACGACGCGTGCGGAGACGCAGACGACCCGTCTGGGGCCCAGCACGGGTCGGCCCCCCGAAAAGCTGCCGGGCCTCAGCCGTCCCTCACCCGGAACAGTCCAGGGGGCAGTCTCGAGACCGCCCTGGACTACTCGGCTTCGAGGATCGAGATTAGCGACCGCTTGTTTATCTTACTGAGCTTCTAGAGGCGCTGTTGCCGCTGCGCGGCCGCGCCCGCCCTGGAGACTCGTGCCATCGCTCGGACGTCTATTACACGTGCATGTTACGAGTTCGTGTGTGTGTGTGTTGTTTTTGTCCGATGATCAAAGATGCTCCTCGATGGTCCTTGCCGAGGACATCTTCACACGTCCGAGCGATGCCAAGTCAAGAGATGTGCCCCCCCCCCTCCCAGCAGGCCAGGGGGGCAGCCTCGAGACCGCCCTGGACCACTCGGCTTCGAGAACCGAAGTTCGAGAATCGAGGCTTTCGACCGCTCGTTTCTCTTACTGAGCTTCTAAGAAGCGCTGTTGCCACTGCACGGCCGCGTCCGCCCTGGAAATTCTCGCCACAACGCGCCCTGCTCCGGGGGGGGCTGTCGGGGCCAGCCAGGACTGCCCAGGGGGTCTGTCCGTGCGCAACCCCAAGCCTAACCAACGACAACGTTCGTCCATTTGTGAACCCTGCGGTTGACGGAGGCCTGCGTGAAAGCAGGGCGTGCTGGCATGCGTCTCAGGTCTGGAGTATTTCACTCGGCCAGAAGTTCTGAGATCAGCCCACCACTGTGGATCCATATCTGAACCCTGCCAATCGTCGCCCGAACTCCTAGGTTTCGGCGACCACGACGACGTCTTCTTTTCGGAGGGTGTTGGGCGCTTCGGCAGACTCTCATCGCCGCGGCAAGGAGCACTGAACAGGAGGGAGCCTGCGAGGGGTCCAGAAACTGGTTTTGAGAACACTTCGCACGACGCCAAGGATAACAACCACGACGACGGTGACCGCGACTGTCGCGCTGCACGGCAAGCGTCGCTCTCACGTGGGGGGAGGTGACCGCGACTTGGAAAGGCGCCAGCTGTAACGATGCCTGCACCGATCCAGGGCTCAGGATGGGCCTGGCCAGGATCGGCGTAGAGCCATCATGCCACCATACGAACATCAGCTAGGGAACAAAATGGTCTTTTCCAGCCACGATGCGCCTCGGCCACGAATAGGTTTCTGGGCCTAAGGATCCAAGGAGCGACCCGAAAAGCAACGCCCCTCCTGCACCCAACGCGATCCTTATTCCAGCGTCTTGACTGCACGCCTGAAACTGACCCTGGGCCCGAGAGGGGCCTGAGTGGGTCTACGACGCGCGCGCTTCGCGCGCGCTGAGGTTCTAGCTGCTCGAATGCTGACCGCATTGGGAGCAACACGGCGGTCATGACTGAGGACAGCAACGCTGCTGAAGGCGAAGCGGATCCCCCGCAAGATCGTGAGCAAGCGCCCTGCAGCCAGCGTAGTCGTGAAAAAGACACACCAAAAACAGTGAAGCGGACTGTCTTTACGAAGCACCGAATCCGCTGAGCGGATCTCCGATGTGTGCGCTGTGTACTTTTTGAAGTGCGGCACGCTCCCCCTCGCAGAAACATGCGCTATTCGCATTGCGCCAGCTTTGTCGTCATCACCATCCGTCCCACGGGGGGAGAAGAACAGAGCTGAGGGGGAGGGAGGAGGGGGAATGAGGAGGAAGGAGGAGGAGGAAGACTGTGGAGGAAGAGGAGGAATTTTATCCGCGTGAATCGTGTGCACTAGAAGGAGGAGGAGGAGGAGGAGGAGGAAAAGGTCGGTTGAGGGAGGGAGGCTGGGCCCCCAGGTGTTTTGGTACAACTGGGCCCCCCAGGGGTTTTGGTACAACTGGGCCCCAAGGTGTTTTGGTCGTAGTCGTCGTGGTCGTCGTCGTCGTGGTCGTCGTCGTCGCGGTTGTTGTGGTCGTCGTTTCAGTCGCGTGAGTCGTGTGCACTGGAAGGCGGAGGAAGAGAAGGAAAAGGTCGGTTGAGGGAGGGAGGCTGGCCCCCCAGGTGTTTTGGTACAACTGGGCCCCCCAGGTGTTTTGGTACAACTGGGCCCCCAGGTGTTTTGGTCGTTGTCGTGCGCGTCGTGGTCGTCGTCGTCGTGCTCGTCGTGCTCGTCGTGGTCGTCGTCGTCGTCGTCGTTGTCGTGGTCGTCGTTTTATTCGCGCGAGTCGTGTGCAGTAGAAGGAGGAGGAGGAGGAGGAGGAGGAAGACTGAGGACAACTGGGTCCCCGATGGTTTTGGTACACCTGGGCTCCCAGCTGTTTTGCACAACTGGGCCTCTGACTGCTCGGCACCACTGGGCCCCCGTCATCTTGCTGCTTCCTGTTTATATGATCAAGTTCCCTGCAGCGAAGCGCCCCCTGCCTCTCTGGGAACGCCTGTGCGGCCAAACGGTGCTAATGGGCGACTGACCGTGCGTGTGCGCAGGAACCGTGCGAGGGCGAGGGAGGACCAACCTGGAGAAACCGAGCATGACGCATACATTAAACGCGGTACAAAGGACGAGAGAGAGAGAGAGAGAGGCGGGGAGGGAGAGAGAGAGAGAGAGAGAGAGCGAGACAGAGGGATAGAAACCCACGACGTCGGAGATACAGAGAAAGAGAACGAGAGAGAGAGAGAGAGAGCGAGGAAGAGAGACAGAGAAAGAGAGAGAGGGAGAGAAAGAGAGACAGAGAGCGAGAGAGAGAGGTCAAATAGCCCCATAAGTTCCCACGAGTCTATATATATATATATGTATATATATATGTATACATATACATTTACAAGGCTGCATTGGCGCTTCGCGCCATGCACCTTGTTTCTTGAAGCTTTGGAATGGTTGGCCCGTGGTGCCATCCTTTTTTCCATTTTAGCCGCGGTCCGCTGGTTCGTCCTTCGGAGAAGCGCAGGGAGAGCAGAAAGGGGGGCAATCAACCTGGGACGGGCCAAAACTGCGAGTTGGAGGCCGCGGGCGCATGGAATGGCGCATATTAATGGGGGCCGCGCGGGAAACAGCTGGAATCCCGGGTTCGCAACAGAATTTCCGGAAAATTGGTTGCGAACCCGGGATTATGAGCATAATGCGGCTATTCTTCAGGGAATATCAGATGAAGGGGGCGCGGGGCGGCGGAGTGGTGCGATTTCGAGGGCGGCGGGTTGGGCGGTCTTGGAACGTGGGAAACCCGAAAAAGCAAGGACGCTGAAAACATTGAACAACGAATGGGAAAGTAACATTTTTGAATGTTTTTGGAGCCTCACCGAAACGTCTTAGGGGGCCTCCCGAGGCCCTTTGGAGCTCTCTTGGGGCTTCCTTGGGCCCTTTCGGGGCGGGAGGCTCGTATTTTCAGTTTTCTGGTCCTCCCTGGGGCCTTTCTTTGGGCCGTCTCGGAGCGTTCGTGGGCCGTCTTGGACCGTCTTGGGGCGCGTCTTGGACCGTCTTGGGGCGCTCTCAGCGCGCTCTGGGAGCCCCTTGGGCTGTTGTGGAGCGGTTTTGGGGGCTTCTTGGGCGGTCTTGGAACGTGGGAAACCCGAAAAAGCGAGGACGCTGAAAACACTGAAAAACTAATGGGAAACAATCAATTTGGGATGTTTTTGGAGCCTCACCGAAACGTCTTAGGGGGCTTCCCGAGGCCCTTTGGAGCTCTCTTGGGGCCTCCTTGGGCTCTTTCGGGGCGGGAGGCTCGTATTTTGAGTTCGTGGTCCCCCCTGGGGCTCTTCTTTGGGCCGTCTTGGAACGTTCGTGGGCCATCTCGGACGCGTCTTGGGCCGTCTTGGGGCTTTCTCAGAGCGCTCTGGGAGCCTCTTGGGCCGTTGTGGGGCGGTTTTGGGAGCTTCTTGGGCGGTCTTGGAGCGTCGGACACCTGAAAAAGCGAGGACGCTGAAAACATTGAAAAACCAATCGAAAAGTAACAATTTGGGATGTTTTTGGAGCCTCACCGGAGCTACTTAGGGGGCTTCCCGAGGCCCTGTGGAGCTCTCTTGGGGCCTCCTTGGGCCTTCTCGGGGCGGGAGGCTCGTATTTTCAGTTCGTGGTCCCCCCTGGGGCTCCTCTTTGGGCCGTCTTGGAGCCTTCGTGGGATCTCGGGCGCGTCTTGGACCGTCTTGGGGCGCTCTCAGCGCGCTCTGGGAGCTTCTTGGGCCGTTTGGAGCGGTTTTGGGAGCTTCTTGGGCGGTCTGGGAGCGTCGGACACCTGAAAAAGCGAGGACGCTGAAAACCTTGAAAAACCAACGGAAGTTCAATGATTTTGTTCTCTCGGGCCCCCTTTGAGAACGGTCTTGGGGCTCTCGCGGAGGGTCTTCAAGGCTACTCGGGTACTATCCTGGACTGTCTTGGGTGTCTCTGTGGGCTTGCGCCGACCGATTTGGCACTGCCGCCCGCCTGTGTGCACGCCTCGGAAAGGATTTTCGGCCGCCCCCGTGGCACGGATCCGGGGGGTCCCGTTTCGGGGGGGGGTCCGCACCCCCGGAATTATAGAAATATAGAAAATGGAATAGCCCTCCGCACGCACCAAGAACCCCCCTTTCTCCAGACTCTATATGAATTCATATATGATTCCTAAGATTTTCGGACTTCATTTTGAGGCTCATTGTTCGAAGACTTTCTCAACTCATTTTGATTTGACAATAACCTTCTACTCAACTCCCTCCGTCTCCAACACACCATCCAGTACTCAACACCCTCCGTCTCCAACACACCACCCGATACTCAACAGGCTCCCTCCCCAAGCTGAACTTGAAAATACCCTTCTACTCAACTCCCTCCGTCTCCTACACACCATGCAGTACTCAACAGGCTCCCTCCCCAAGCTGAACTTGAAAATAACCTTCTACTCAACTCCCTCCGTCTCCAACACACCATCCAATACTCAACGCCCTCCGTCTCCAACACACCACCCGATACTCAACAGGCTCCCTCCCCAAGTTGAACTTGAAGATAACCTTCTACTCACCTCCCTCCGTCTCCAACACACCATCCAGTACTCAACATCCTCCGTCTCCAACGCACCACCCGATATTCAGCAGGCTCCCTCCCCAAGCTGAACTTGAAAATAACCTTCTACTCAACTCCCTCCGTCTCCAACACACCATCCAGTACTCAACACCCTCCGTCTCCAACACACCACCCGATACTCGATAGGCTCCCTCCCCAAGCTGAACTTGAAAATACCCTTCTACTCCACTCCCTCCGTCTCCTACACACCATCCGGTACTCCACACCATCCGTCCCCAACACTCCACCCGATACTCAACAGGCTCCCCCCCCAAGCTGAACTTGAAAATACCTTTGTACTCCACTCCCTCCGTCTCCTACACACCATCCAGTACTCAACACCCTCCGTCACCAACGCAGCACCCGATACTCCACAGGCTTCCTCCCCAAGCTGACCTTGAAAATAACCTTCTACTCAACACCCTCCGTCTCCAACACACCACCCGATACTCAACAGGCTCCCTCCCCAAACTGAACTTGAAAATAACCTTCTACTCAACTCCCTCCGTCTCCAACACACCATCCAGTACTCAACACCCTCCGTCACCAACACACCACCCGATACTCAACAGCTCAGACCCCCAAGCCTTGAACTTGAAGTCTCCTTCACTCAACTTCACTCCGTCTGTCCAACACAGAATAAAAACCTCATCCAGTACTCAACACCCTCCGTCTCCAACACACCACCCGATACTCAACAGGCTCCCTCCCCAAGCTGAACTTGAAAATAACCTCGTACTCCACTCTCTCCGTCTCCTACACAGCATCCGGTACTCCACACCCTCCGTCCCCAACACTCCACCCGATACTCCACACCTGTCTTCTCCATCACACAACTTACCTTTCTGCCACACTGTTTCCTTTACGGTTGCAGCGCGCGCCTTCCGCCCCCCTTTTCTCTTGGCATCTTCCAAGAGAAAAGGGGGGTTCATGGTGCGTGCTGACACATATATATATATATATTTATATAGCTGGTGACCGGCGATGGCTGGTGCCAAGAGGGGGGCGGCTAGACGAACAATGGCGCACCACACGCGGCTAGGGCAGTGCTCCAGCCGGCGTTCGGGCTTCGGCGCGGCTGCTTGCACGACGACGAGGGCGACGCCGATGATGACGGTCCACGGTCGTCAACGACAGTCGAAGCCACGACGCCGACGCCGACGGCCCGCGGTCGAATCGACGAATTGACGGTCGACGACGGCGGCATTGGCGACGCCGAGGGGCCTGAGCTCCACGAGCGCCTGCTCGAACGGCTCCAGCCCGCGCCCGCCCGACCTGCCGCGGGCCAGCTCGTACATCCAGCCTCGGCGCGGCGCGCTCCGCCGCCCCACCCTGGAGGAGGGCCGGTCGGGCACAGTTCTCGGGGGTGGACAGAACCCCCAACAGTGACACGTCGATTAGTGAATTGTCCGTCTTCGGCTCTCGAGAGGGCGCCGTGGCCGTTATTTTCCAGGCTTGCGCCCGCCAGGTCGTTTTCACCAAACCACGTGTTACTAAAGGGGGGTCTGTCCATCCCCGAAGTTCCGAGGGGTCACCCCTGCTGAGACGAAGGCAGGACGACAGCAGATCCACGCGAGGACAAATTCGGAATCCCTGGGAGCCAGCGGGTCTGGCGGATGCATCGGGCGCCGCGGCCGTTCCGAAGCGCTGGTCGTCCACCCCCTCCCTGGCCGCCCACGAGATGAGCGGTCCACCCGCTAGGCCTGCTGGAGCCCCCGGCCCCTTGAGAAGGCTCGGCCGGGCACAGCCTCGAGGGGTTAGACTCCTACGCTGTCGGATGTCCCCCGGCGCGCGCCCCACGCGCGCCCCACGCGCGCCTCTCCTCTCCTCTCCTTTCCCCTCCCCTCCCCTCCTCTCCTCTCCTCTCCTCTCCTCTCCTCTCCTGCTCTCCTCCCATCCCTGCCTCTGCCCTCCGCGCCAAGTCAAGCATCTCGGCACACCCCTCACGCGCTTCGTGGCTCCATAAGGAGCTCAACCAAATGCCCCATTGGCGGTTTTCGCATGCGACTCCCCCACTCAGTACAGCGCTTCGTGGCCCCATGGGGAGCTCCACCGAAGGCCCCAATGGCGGTGTTTACATGCGTCTCACCCACCCAGCACAACGTTCCGAGGCCCCGTATGGAGCTCCACCGAAAGCCCCAGTGGCGGTGTTCGCATCCGTCCCCCCCGCCCAGCACAGCGCTTCGTGGCCCCATAGGAAGCTCAACCGAATGCCCCATTGGCGGTGTTCGCATGCGTCTTCCTCAGCCAGCACAATATTTTGTGGTCCCTTAATGAGCTCGAACCCCACTGGCGGTGTTCGTATGCGTCTCCCCCGCCCGGTACAGCGTTTCGTGGCCCACAGGAAGCGTGTTCGCACGTGTTTCCCCCGCCTGATACAGCGCTTCGTGGCCCCATAGGGAGCTCCACCGAAGACCCCAGTGGCGGTGTTCGCATGCGTCTCCCCCAGCCAGTACAACGCTTCGTGGCCCAATAGGGAGCTCCACCGAAGGCCTCAGTGGCGGTGTTCGCATGCGTTCCCCCCGCCCAGTACAGCGCTTCGTGGCCCCATAAGGTGCTCAACCAAATGCCCCAGTGGCGTCGCCCCGCGTCCCACCTCTCTTCTCCTCTCCTCTCCGCCTCCTCCTCCTCTTCCTCCTCCTCCTCCTCCTCCTCCTCCTCCTCCTCCTCCTCCTCCTCCTCCTCCTCCTCCCCCTCCTCCCGCTCCTCCCGCTCCTCCCTCCTCCCTATCCATGCCTCTACCCTCCGCTTGCCTCTAATTCGGCACACCCCTCACACGTCTAGTGGCCCCATAGGGAGCTCCGCTGGAGGCCGCAGTGGCGCCGCCCGCATGTGGGCGCCACCCCCGTTTCGGCACACCCCTCACACGCTTCGCGGCCACATAGGGAGCTCCACCGAAGGCCCCAGCGACGCAGCCCGCATGCGGGCGTTGCCCCATGGGCAAAGTCACCTCAGACGGTACTCACAATTGCGGTACTCACAACTGTTCTTCACCAAGCTCAGTTCTTCAGATTCATATGCTTGATCTGTTTTTTTTGTTTTTTTTCGTGCGATCAGTTTTCCCTCCCCCCCTGTGCCTCGGCGCCTTGCACTCCTTCGGCACGACCGCGAAGGGCTTCACGTTCTGAGCGGCTCCCGCCTCTGCTCGCCTTTCCCTGCTTCCCTCTCCGCTTCCCATGCCCCAATTCGTTCCCGTCGCGTCCCGCCCGAAGCCTAACCGGCGCCTACACCAGTTTCGATTTGCGTGGAGGATGGAGGAGAGATCAGGGAGGAGAGAGGAGAGAGGAGGAGGAGGAGAGAGGATACAATATCGAGGAGGGAGACAGGAGGAGGAGGAGAGTAGGGGGCAGAGCAGGGGAATAAAAGTCGAGGTTCGAGAATCGATGTTTTCTTGCGTTCTGAAGCTTTATGGGGCATCCAGGGGCGCCCTCGCTGCCATGGCTGGATCCTCGAAGTGGCAGCCGGAAAACGCTCCAGGGTAAGTCCACGGGCGAGTTTTTGAGAAGAGGAAGAGGGGGGAGAGGATCGAGCAACTATGCTGTCCATATTTGTTGTTCTTTTCGGGTCCAGGGGGCTCCGATCTGCCTCGAAAATCTTCCCAGGACGCGCCCTACAGGAGGTCGGGGGGGCGGGTCAGGGGAAGGCGGAGGAGGAGGAGGAGGAGGAGGAGGAGGAGGAGGAGGAGGAGGAGGAACATGACGAGATTACGGTCGACGAGGGGTGGAAATGAGGACGAGGAATGGCACAGAGCGGAACAAGGACAGGGAGAGGAAACAAGGAGATAATCCGCCACCGTGCCCCCATGGCACGCGGAGGCGCGGAAGAAGCCAAATGGTGGGGGCCTCCGAATTCTAGTAAAGGGGCACTCCCCTTCCACACCCGCGGACTCTTTTGTGCATCGCCCCTCCTTCCCGAGCTCACTTCCCCAGTGCCCGCTCGAGGATGGTGCACTGCCAGCGTGGCGGCTGATGCCTCACCCCTCTCCACGCGTGCCCGCTCGAGGATGGTGCCCTTCCAACATGGCTGTTAATGCCTGAGGCCCCCTCTTCCACGCGTGCCCGCTCGAAAATGGCGTGCTCCCCGCGTGGCAGCTGACGCCGGAACCCTTATTCTATACGCGCCCGGTCCAGGATTGTGCCCTTCCCTCATGGCTGCTAACTCCTAGGCCCATCCCACGCGCACCCGCTCGAGGATCGTACACTTTCTGCATTCCCGAACTGTGTTCCCCAACGTTCCAAGGCCTCCCAAGCCACCACCCGTTGATAACAATCCTCGAAGACGGCCCAATATGACCACAAGGCGGACAGGACTGGACAGGAAAAGACCTTCGCCTAGATGGCGCATCGGCAGAACATAACTAATTGTAAAGGCCATGGGACAATCAAACGAGGACAATTCCGCGCTGAATGCAAGCGCGTTGGAACGTAGCCATTGCGCATGACGATGAAAGGCGGCGGGAAAAATTGCACCAGCAGGACGGCGCGCAGGAGGGGGAGGGGGAAGGAGGCGGAGGGGGGGAGAGGGGGGAAGGAAAGCGAAACCTGATATATCAACTTGCAATCGCAATGCGTGACAATAGCGTCGAACACGTGCCTCCCGCTGCGATCTGGGAGGGTTCAGCAGATTATGTACTGCATCGGCTCCGTCTCCTACTAAGCTCAAGGCGCGCGCATGCCGCCCGCTGCAAACGGGCCCCCCCGCACCTTCGAGGGCGCGCCACTCCCTGGGCAATGCACCGTGGACGCGGCTTTCCTCAAACACCATGCGCCCAAGTAGAGAATTCGGGTGGGCTTTTGCCAACTTGCCGTGGCATCCGATTGTTTTTGCCATGGGTCAACTGAAAGAGGGCGGGCGCCTATGAACAACCCCTCTTTTGCATTGCTCACTCGAGAGATGAAGGCCCATAGGATGCTGCGAATCCCCTGAAGGCAATGCGATTGGAACCCATCGGGCCTGTCCCGGTCAGCAGCCAACAACGCGCATTATTCCAAGCCGTCGAACAATTTGGAAAAGATGCACGCGTCCAGAATCTGTATCTCCTGCATCCGTGTTACGCGCGCGTGGCCTCATGCAGCACTGGGCGGTGGAGCAATTTTGTGGCTTCCCCAAGGCGCTTTGTCAACTCTGCCTTCGGATCCCTGTCTGCGCTTACATAACCGCCCAAACCACATCGATTGCGCGATCTTTGCGTCGAACGGCTTCCCCACCAGGCCCGGGGAATAACTTGCGCTGACCTGATTTGCAGGAGCGCGGTCCTCCCCTCGTCCGGCCCCAAGCCGAAACCGATTGCTTTTCCGATCTGGGCCTCGGTGCCCAGGTGATGTCGGAAGCGTTCCCCGTCTTCAGCCATCGACGTTGCGCCGTCAGCATGAAGGAATCCTCTGCGATGATGCGTGGTCTCCAGCATCGCTCTGGCATGTCTGCATTCGTCTCGGCACCCGCTGCTTCCATCGACGCCGACGTCGCGCCGGGGAGATGGCGGGCGGCCCTGTGCCATCCCTGCATTCTGCGGTCGCTGAGAGGACACGGCGCCCCCGTTTTCGACAAACCCATTCACGCGTTGCGCGCGTCGCCTTAACCGCGTCAATCACAGGCGCGGGAAGCCCAAGATGACGCACGGCGCGCAGTAAACCCTCCGGCTTCACACAGTGGACAGCCTTGTTCCAAGTGGGCCCAATATTGGCGACTCCGCGTGCTTATCCGACAGCGTGGCATCGATGTGTCGGCGAGCCAAGAATAGTCCTCTGCTGCGCCGCGTCCAAATATGAAACGATGCCGCGACTCCCGCGGGCGCTGTTCTACTCGCCCGGTCTTCAGCCCGCGTCGACGCAATGCTCGCCAACGCATTGCGCCCAACGGCCAAGAGAGAAACGAGGAGATAATCGCGCGTTCCGATGCGTCTCGCTTGTGGACCAAAAAAACCACAATTGGAGCCTCCCGCCGCCCTGCTAAAATCCCACCAGCCCTCTGGGCGTAGGTGGTCTAGAGCAGATCCTCTTCCACCCCTCCCTCTTCCCCCTTGGGGAGGGGTTTACCCCTCCCCCTACCCCCTCCCCTGGACCTGGACGGGGGGGGCCGCGGGTAGTTAGAGCGTCCAAGATGGCCCAATACGGCTCCAAGAGCGCCTCAGAGAACCCAAGATGAGCTCCAAGATGGCTCAAGATAGCGCAAGATCGCTCACGATGGCTCCTAAGATGGTTCCAAGAAGCCCTAAGACGGCCCCAAGATAACTCCAAGTGGCCAAACAGCTCCCCAAGGAGGCCCCGAAGAGGCCAAAATCGTCCCAAAACCAAAGGAAAATCA